TTAGGTGGATTGTTGAGGGCAACAGCAGAGGATGTCCAAGCAGTGCTAGAAGACTTTCAATGGTAACAACGAGTGAGGGGCAAATTTATTGCCGCTAAATAACAGAAGCATAGCTGAGCTATTCTGGGAGGTCCTTTCCGAAAACCGCCCGTATGAATTCATCGCAAGCCTTGGAGCAGTCCATTTTCGTCACATCTTCATCAGATTTCTGTCCAGTATATTTCTTTTTATAGTGGCCACATTCTTTCAAGCACTGCTTCTTCGAATATTGAGGTTTCAGGTCCTGAAAACTGCATGAACCCTTCCTCAAAGCGGAGCGATTCAAATGTTTGGAAAGAGCTAAAGTTAATGTATTTACTTAATCACTGTTAATGTTGGGACGACCAACAAGAACAAGAGGAAAATCATCAGGCGTTTCATTTCGGCGACCGGCTCGTTCTCAGACGAATCCAAACTGAAACATACTAAAGTATGCCCTAGCGATATGGAATATGCCTGCGAGCAATAGGCGATATGATAAAGCCGGTGAAGACACGTGCAGGACGGGAATGGAGGTCCTTCAGTAGTGGTGTGGGAACATCGTTTCCTTGCATTTCTTGCATGCAACACTGCTTTGCTGAGACACACTTTGCCCCATTGCACGAGGTTTTCATATGAGATCTTCCCCAAACGTGGAGAATCATCTCGAGAAACGGGATGTCAGTAGTTGTCACATAGAAAAGGATCTAGGGTGACACTAACGCAGAGTTCAGATTTCGCGTTCGACGCGATCGATGCAGTGGAAAGTATGCGCATCGATCGCCTTGAACGCGCGGCCGAATCGCTGCCGTCGCGAAGTCTGAACGCTTCCTAATGGTAAGCAGCATTATTTCAAACGATGGTAAGACTTCTGCCCCCTTTTACTTGAAAACGTCATACACTACATACACTCGAAATCCCTGATATGCGGTAGGCGTGTGCTGGTGTTTCTGTTGAGCATGGAAAAAATGGCAGTTGCATAAAACTGAAATACCACATAAGTAACCCATTCTATGCCTCGTTCAAATGCTACGCCTACTCCGGCTCAGGGATAAGGAGTGTACTCTGCATGAATGAGCTCAAAGGTAGTTGGCACGATAATTTGGTACTCAGCCTAAAATGCTAGCAGGGCGCTATATAGTGGGAAAATGGCGAAAAAACGAAGTGAAACGGTCGAAAACTGCGAAGAAAAGCCTTCGTTCTTGAAAAGCAATTTCGGACGAGTTCCCGTAGGCAGTATTGCAAATAGGCTCGTAGATAGCGGGCTGCATGTATGTACTGTCACATAATCCATTCAGCCAGCCGCTTTATCCCTTCGCCCTTCGTTTCAAATTTAAACGCAGTCGATCGCCCGCTGGTCGACGGCCTCCCTCGCTTCAGTGAGCGAGCAACCTATAATTTTATGCGGTTCTGATCTTCTCTACAGCGTCCTTGCTTTGATGCACTACCGGCATCAGCAATGGAACCTTTAATATGGTTCCTGAGTTGCTTGATGGAAGATATTGTGGTGAAGAGTGATAAAGTCAGTTGCTGCTGTTCATAACATCTCTGTAAACAAACCACATGCATTTGGAATAGAGCTGGCTTAGCGGTCGTACACGATGTCGTTACTAATAAGCAGTGAGGAATGAGTTCTGTTGGAATCACTGAGATCGTTATACTTGAGTCATATCGATCGCATTGTTGTTGTGAGCGGTGAAGCGGATTTTCCCATGCTACCTTGTCAATTTTAGCTCCTATCACTTCCGTACCCGCCAATAACACTCCCGTCCCGTATCACTATCATATCACCCTGTATCGCCTCTCGGATCAGAGGTCCCACTGTTGCTGTAACCTGCGCCACGAATTTGATGACCCTCCTCTTCCGAGGCCCCTTATCGGATCTTATCTTTTTTTTTTTTTTTTTTTTTTTTTTTTTTTTTTTATTTTTTTTTTTTTTTTTTGATGCAACCGGGTTTCACTGTTATGCAGCTTTGCCAGTCCACCCTACGGCATATCAGTACTTGAAATCATGGTCCCGCCGTTGCTGCAACTTGCCACGAATTCGGTCACCCTCCCCTTTTAAGGCCCCTTATCGAATCTTATCAAGTGTTATCACCTCCTGTCACCCACAAAAGTGTTCCCGTCCTGCCATGTATATCACTTCTTGAAATCACGGTCGCCGCAGCTGCTTGCAACTGCGCTCCAATTCGGCTCACCTCCCTTCTAAGGCCCCTTATCGAATCAATTATACGTGTCATCACTCCTGCCCCACTGAAATGTCCGGTCCTGCCATGTATGTCATTTTCTTGAAATCACGGTCCTGCAGCTGCTGCAAATTGCGCTACGATTTCGGTCACCCCTTCTAAGGCCCCTTATCGAATCTTATCAAGTGTCATCACCTCCTGTCACCCATCAAAAGTGTTCCCGTCCTGCCATGTATATCACTCCTTGAAATCACGGTCCCGCAGCTGCTGCAACTTGCGCTAGATGTTGGTCACCCCCCTTCTAAGGCCCCTTATCGAATCTTATCAAGTGTTATCACCTCCTGTCACGCACCTAAAGTGTTCCCGTCCTGCCATGTATATCACTCCTTGCAATCACGGTCCCACACCTGCTGCAACTTGCGCTACGATTTCAGTCACCCTCAGCTTCTACCGGCCCCTTATCGATCTTATCAATTGTTATTACTTGTCCTAACAACCACAAAAGGTTCCCGTCCTGCCATGTATATCACTTCTTGGAACTGTCATCCTATCTTTTCTGCGACGCTCGCTATGAATTTCGTGACACACACACACACACACACACACACACACACACACACACACACACACACACACACACACATAAGGCGATTATACATAGTAGATAGCAAATGAGCACAACGGACATCTGTAAGGTAAGTTCCATTTGTGCGCGGGGCGGTCGTGTGGGCGTTTTGGGTCAGTTTGTTATAGCTTGATAGCACCCTTATAAGGGTACCTCCCTAGGAAAACCGCTACGCAGCGCCTGCTCAGGGTCGCGGAAAACCGCCCTCATTAGGCGTATCACTCTTCTTTAGGGATTTACGTGTCATCGTTTAAGAAGAAATCGGCTAATACATTTACTGTTCTCAAAATACTTTCGTGCATTCCTTGTAAGTTAATAACTTGTAGAAGACGTTATCCTTCTAGATATAATTCGCTGAATTTGTCTGTCTGTCTGTCTGGTCTGTCTGTTGTCTGTATGTCTGGTCTGTGCCTGTCTGTCTGCCTGTCAATCGAGTTAAGTGTGTGTGTTTGTGTGGCAAGAGGTATGGTCGTGTGTCTGTTATATGGTGTGTCTGTCTGGCATCGTGATACATGATGTTGGTCTGGTCTTCGTCTGTCTGTCCCCCTGCCTGTGTACGTGTGTGTCTGGTCTATCAATCTGTCTGTCTGTCTGTTGTTTTTGCGTGTGTGGCATCTGTGTATCTGTCTGTGTGCGATGCTTATCTGTCTGTTCTATGCTGCTTGTTCTCTGAATTCTGTGTGTGGCTGTCTGTCTGTCCGTGTCTGTCTGTCATGTCCCCGTCTGTGTTAGTATGTGTGTTCCTGTCCGTGTTGTTTATTGTGTGTGTATTTGTCTGTGTGCGTGTCTGTCTGCCTCTGTGAATCTGTCTGTATTGTCTGCGTGTGTTGTGGGTGTATCTATGTGTAAGCATGTGTGTACCTGTCTGTTTGCCTGTTTTTGTGGGTCTGTCTGTCTGTCTGTTTGCGTGTGTGCGGCTCTGTATTTGTGTTTGTCTGTCTGTCTGCCTGTCTGTGCGTTTGCCTAAGTGTGCCTGTCTCTCTATGTCTGTCTGCCTGTCTGTCTGTCTGTGTATGTCTGTCTGTCTGTTGTATGTCTGCCAGTCTATGTGTGCCTGACTGTCTATGTGTGTGTGACCTGCCCCTGCACTCAGTCATTGGCAGTACAACGCTAGACATAACCCGATCATTTATTGCCACATTCAATTGTACAGTGTCCGTAATTATATGTGTTTTCATTAATACAATGTATCAAACAAGCGATGAGGCCATTAAGGTACACAGAAATAAGGATCCAGTCCGACTGGGTTCTTTCCACCACCTTGAGGAGGTGGAGGTGGTGGTGGAGGGGGTGGTGGAGGTGGAGGGGGTGGTGGAGGTGGAGGAGGCGGCGGAGGTGGAGGGGGAGGAGGAGGAGGGGGTGGAGGCCAGCCCGGTTGACCACCGCCTGGAGGCCAACCTGGCTGTCCACCACCACCTGCAGCTGGAGGCCAGCCTGGTTGACCGCCTGCTGGGGGCCAACCTGGTTGGCCACCGGCTGGCGGCCAACCGCCTGGCCTTCCTCCTCCCGGAGGTCTTCCTCCAGCAGGTGGTGGCCATCCAGGTATCTGAACTGGTGCGCCGGCTGGTTGTCCTGGTTGACCTTTTCCTCTTGGTGTTCCTTTTCTGGGTGGTGTTTTCGCTTGAACAGCACCCCAGTTGCTCTGGATTTCGTTTATGGTTTCATTGTCGTCGCGCGGTCGAAATTCTGAAAAAAGCGCCTAAAATGTTGTGTTTGTGATCGCTATGGATCAGAAGGATGTAAGGTACTTTGTTTGCTTCTTTTCTCTCCACTAGCAGGTGATCGGCTTTGCTCTGACTCTTCTGATACGCTGTCACTTTCCGATTTAGACTGTTCGCGTTCAGATTCCTAGAAAGATCCTTGTGTCTGACTGTGAGATGGAGTAAGAAAATGCCTCGAAATTTCACTCGAGGTTCTAATCCAGAGCCCTCGAAATCGAGATAGGTCAGACAAGCGGAAGCAATATCCGGTGGGAAACGACTCCCGTGCCCCCCCACCTTTTGGGACTGGGGCCCCATGCAGCGGAGATAAACACGCTGGGTCCAGATGGTCCTTACCGAAACATGGCGGATAAGTGAGTTTTACGAAAGCACCCCGCACCTGCCCCTCCCCCCCCCCGCCTCCAAGCGACGTCCGATGACAGGCCTCTGTTCGTGGTTTTGTGTTGTTTGGATTTTTCCATGGTCAGATGTGTGTATTGAGCAATGACGTACCTCCCTGATAAAAAAGCTGTAAGTTAAGTAAGGCAATCATCGTGAGTGGATTATTTTATCTTTTTTTTTTGTTGTTTTGCTAGTGCCGAAGTCACTTACCGCCGTTCCTGCTCTCTTCTCGATCCACAAAACGTTATGCTACAAGTGACTGCAAGTGATGCCGTAGCCACGGCTAAAGCGAGCTGTATCATTGCGAGGAATCGATGAAATCTAAATCATGCGAAACTCCTATTTCCTTGTTCCTAAATAGGAGTTCTTGAGCTTGGATGGGACTGCCCAGTCCCGCTCCCGAAAGGCACGAAAATTTTTCACAAAAAGGGGAAAAGGGTAGGGGAAAAGAGGAAATGAGAGAGAGAGAGGTACGCCGCGTCCCCTGTCGTTATTACAATCGAATTCTCTCATTTGAAGGCAGCTGAGTACTAATTTGCAGGGTAGACGGCCAAGACAATCATAATTCACCGCGACGTCGCGCGCGGTGCATCGCCGCGGCGTAGAACACAAACTTCTCGATCTACCCGTTGCTCGAATTTTAGCGCCGGAACTCAGCGCCAAATTAACCCGAGGCAGGAAATATGCAACATCACAAAAATCTTTGTCATCCCTTAGATGCAAACTCAAACAGACAGGACAAGACAACCGTCCGCCCAACGCGAGTCTCAAGACAACCGTAATATGCCTATCAGCGCGGCATATTACGGTTGTCTTCACGTACCCATCTTGCAAAAGAACGCAACATCAAAGACTACGTTTGTGCATCCGAAGTCGTGGGACGTGAGGGTTACTTACGAGCGACAAGTTGGTGAGTAATTCAAGAGCGAAAGAAAAAGGAGGACAGTAAAGAAGAAGTGGCTTGACGATTCCCCGCGTGTGATATAATTTGCGAGTTTCATCCCATAATTACTCTCCGTCCCAGCAATTCGGGGTGAGTGCATAAAGAGAGAGAGCGAGAGCGAGTCATGAGAGAGCTGCCTGGATAGAGAGCAGCATTGGACGATGGGCGGAGCAATAAAGTCAACGCGAGCATCTTGCGTCCTTGCCAAGCATTTTCGAGCAAGAAAGTGCAACATCGTCCGTGCTAGCGGACCGGACCACCAACGACGGAGTGCGTGTCGCGGTCCGCTAGCACGACGCGGTCGTCGGTGTATGGCCGTCTAAACGAGGTTCCACAATCCTTAGCCTCTTCTTCGTGAACAGCACCTCAAATGAGGTGCTGCTCACGAAGAAGAGGCTAAGGATTGTGGGACCTATGTCAGTATCATCCATCTTGTCGACTGGAAGTCAATCCTTTTCCTGGGCGTAATCACTAGGGGATCAGTCCCTAACGGCTCTGGTGGTCTGTGCTCGAGCCCTAGTCCGCTGAGGGGATGGGATGCATGGGCGCTTAGTCTGCTCACTATGAGAAGCGAATCTGTTCTTCGAGGTATCATTTTTTGAAGCAAGTGAAGTCCCCAGTGCAGAACTTACAGATCAGCTGCTTTGGTGAGTGTGGTTATGAGTAAATGAACCTCACCGCATTGTTTCAGTTTCATCTGATTGCCTGTTTTCAGAATGATTCACCGCGTTATCACTTACGAAGAATTTTCTTAGCAAACAGCCTGAAGAGCGTTCATTTCAGGCTTATCCCTATCTCCACAAAAGAGAGATGAGGTGCTTTCATCCTCTAGCTGTGGTTACGATTTCCATAATAGGGAGATGAGCAGCTGAAGCTTGTACAGCACTTATCAACACTCAGCACGAAAGAAATCAAATGCAATAAATCATCTAATTTTGCGTATTGTGCTGTCCCGGAGTCTCATTTCCTATCTGAATGTGTAGTAACAATGTGAAACTCCAAAAATTTATTCCAAAAAACTCAAAAGACAGCAAAAGTCTCAAAAGTTTTTCAAAATATCTTATCTTGCAATATTTCGGTGCGTAGCACCTTCGTCAGGCCTGAAATTATTTAGCTTGTTTTCAGTTGGATATGCACCTTCTACAGAACAACAACTCACACGGACTCCTCCCCCACTCAACCATTACCCTGTTATCGTAGAACATCTAATTCTGTGTTATCAACGTGATCCAGCAGCAAACTCCCTTGGCGGATTTCCCTTTCTAAGATACTGCCTATATCTTCCCATCTGCTCTTATTAATGATCAGTTTCCACCTCAGAAACATGTATGTATCACTTACTGAAAATCCGGAAAGCGTGACGGTATCGACGTGCGAACAAAATCTTTCAAACAAATCGAATCGCAGCTATGCAAAGCAATTTCTACCTATGCAAAACAATTACTACACTATCGTTTGTTAGGCTTCGTTCATACTTAGCAGCAGCGTCCACCAGAGCTCCGACTGTTCGGCAGCGTCAGCGACTAGGAAAGTATAGATATCGATCTAGCGTCTGCCAGCGTCTACCAGCGTCCGGGAATGGAGAGTATGGCGCGATAGGAGGTTAGCAGACTGTTGGTAGAAGGTATGGTGGGGCAGCAGACAGCTGGTACTCTCCTATCGCACCATACTCTCTAGCAGCAGTCCGTGCTGGTCGCTGCTCGACGCTGGCAGACGCCAGCTCGATAACTATACTCCCTAGTCTTCGCATATTGCTCGTGGAGATGGTAGACGCTGGTGCGACGCTGGTAGGACGCTGGCAGGACGCTAAGGCCGACTTATCTGTCTCATCGACTGTCGTAGCCGCCGACGCTGCCGGACGCTCGGAAGGCAAGTGGCCATTACCAAATATGGATGCAGCCTTTTTTTTCTTACTGTCGAATACCGTCAAGCATTTACATTTTTGTCAAGAGCTCAAGAGTTAGCCAGTGAATTTGCATTCGCGATTCTGTGCTGCCTTCGAAAGAAAGAGGGGAAGAAATGCTTATTTACGACCTGCTAGCCTATTGGTGCTTGCAGCCACAGTGTGGTTGCCGTTTTGTCGTAAGGAGCGTGAGCAAGGAAAGCAAAGATGTCGTCCCCATCACCTATCAGTCATCATATCGCTTCCTGCCACACCATCAACAGTATTCTCATGTCACTCCTTATATATCAGTTCCTGAACCATGTTCCCACACTTGCTGCAGCACGCACTATGGTTTCTCTGATGCTCCCTTCAGCGCCCCTTATGAGTTCTCATCAGTTTTCAAAACTTCTGTCAAACGCCAGTAACGGTGCTGTGCCACTAGTTATATAAATTTCCATCTTTAACTTTCTACGACAAAATAAAAGGAAGTAATGAATTTTTTGCCAGTTAGACAGACAGACAAGCAGGCAGACAAACACCCACACAGGCAGGCAGAGAGACAGATACACACGCACGCAAACGAACATAGACTGACACACACACAGGCAAACAGACAGGTGGGCAGGCAAACAGGTAGACAGACAGAACACACACAGACCCACACACTCACACAGACAAATTTTGCGGGTCGTACATCGCAGGATAACATCTCTTGCAAGTGTATGACAAGTTGACGCTATAAGGGTACATTCTTTTGAAAGGGTGCCCCGGAACTAGGGCACGCCATCGTTGTGATGATCACAAGGGGTCGTATTTGACCGCGAGGGAGGGGGTCGTATTTGGTCTGAGAAAAATTTTTTTGGTAGTTGATTTCTCTTGTTTCACGGACGGTATAAGGGGGGGGGGTCGTATTTGGCCGTTGTTGAGAGAGGGACTGCCAAAGATCTATACAACTACTATTTCCGATAGTTGAAAATGATAGTTAAATCCTGACGACCCCCCCCCCTCCCTCGACGGAAAATTCTTGGCTGAAAAACTGGAAATTTTTCGGGAAAAAATGGAAAAAGTGGTAGGAAGTTGGGAAAATCTAGGAAAGTGGTAGGTAGCATGGGGAGGGGTCGTATTTGAGGATAGAATTAGGGGGTCGCATTTTCAGGAAATGATCACAACGCGGATTCGGACACTGTTCACCAAACTAGCTCGTGCCGGTTTCTTTAAAGACACGGTCCGCGATCAGGTATCGAAGTTGAAAATATGGCGTCAGGAGGTTAGAGTGGTCCGCGACGAACAACCTTGTACCGGTTTCGCGGCAAAAAATTCTAAGGGAGGGGCGCTATAGCGCAATATAGGTTCAGTGGTTCCTCCTTTTTTCCAGTGACTCCGCCTCCAGACTCCGCCTCCAATGCCCGGCTTTCAGTGAAAAACGAGATTGCAGGACGAAAAAGCATGAAAATCGTCACTTGTACGAGGGAGA